ATAGATGCCGAGGTAGCCGACCTGAAAATGCATCTGTTACTGGACTTCGAGGGCCACAAGAAGATTAAACATAACAACCCTTCTTAACATCAATGTATCCATAAAGATCGCACTCTATTAAATGAGTGAAGAATCCATGCTCGTAATAACATTACCCAAATAATAAATAGTCAATAAATACTTACAATATTAATTGATTTGAACGGCTATGAGATGGAGAAAGCAGTGTCTCTCGATGAGCGCTTTTATGACTAAGTATTCACTCCACATTTCGCGGCAACAATGCCTTCGATTTTAGAGATACGTTGTAATGGGGTATTTCCCCAATCACAATATAAGAATATCAACAAGTTTTCACTTTCTATACATTTTTTAAGGAAAGACAAAAAATACTTTTAAACATATATCTCAACATCAAACGATGTAATAGTTGAGTTGACCGCAAGTGCACAGTTTTTGCTTCTAGCCTTTCCTTTTGATTTTTTCAGAGATGAAACATTTGATTGGAGTTTTTTCGCCAAACATATCACAGGGGAGCAAGAAGGAGAAAGCAACAACACCCTTAATTTACATGCTCGAACAAAATGGCTTTCTGCGTGGCCCTTACGTTCTGCAGACTTTAGACCCAGGGGGACACGAGTGCGTAGGGGATTAAGAAGATTGAGAGAGGTGTAAGCGCGAAAGAAAGTCACATCGCACCCATCATATCGCGATGGCCCTATGTAATTAGGGATTTTCAAATCCGAAATTTTTACAGAAAAAACTGAAATTTCATAGGGAAAAAAATGAGGATATTTTCAAACAATAATAATGGAAAATTTCTCCCAAAAAATACTCCTCTAGAAAAGTTTAAAAATCCCTAGATGTGATAGCGGTGGTTGCCCCCTGCCACGCGACGCGCTCACGCCTCACGCCGCAGTCCTGGACGCCTGTCCGACCGCCGCGTACCGCAGCCGGTTGGGCCTCGCCTGCGACTCGTAGTGCTGCGCCAGCTGCGCCACGCCCTGCTGGGCCTGGGGCCGCGCCGGCCGGCGGTAGGCGGAGGCCTGCGGCAGCGGCGCGCCCGCGTCGTCGTCCTCGTCGAGGAGGCCGTCCTGCTGCTGCTGCTTGACGCCGCGCCGGTCGTTCCGGTCGTTTCGGTCGTCGGCGCCGACGTACGAGAGGTCCTGGGGAACGGAGAATGGCGAGCGTCAGGCGTCGTTACCCTTCTGTACAAGTAGGGCACCCCCAAGGGCGCCCGCAGCCAGGATAAAGAGCTGAAAATGAAAAACTACTTTGCTTACCCCCCCCCCCTCTCCCCTCATGTTTACGGGTGCACCCTATTTCTGTTGAGAGCGGTCAAGCAGCAGCCCGATGTTCCGAACTCACTGCCCGTGCTTTTATCGCCTACCCCCCAGGCCCCTACCTGTGCGTAGTCCTGGAAGTGGGACGAGTCCTCGCCGCTGCTCGCCTCGTCGTGGAAGAAGGGAGAGGCGCCGTGCGTCTCGTGGTGCTCGACGTGGTGCTCGACGCGGTGGTCGGGCAGGTGGTGCTCCTCGTGGTGGTGCTCGAAGTGCACCGGCTCGCTGTGGTGGTGCTCCACGTGGTGGTCAACGTGGGCGGGCGGCGAGGGTTGCCTGCAGGGGGCAGGAGGGAGGTTGGCGTTAGACAGATATTGAAAGGAGAAGGGTAGCGCAGAGCAACCGCCCCCCTGGCCCGTAGCTTGATTCGGCACAGCCTTTTCGTGCCTCTTTCCTTTATCTTACTCATGTGGCACGGCCATTGGGTGTAAGAGAGAAACACACCTTGAGTGCTCTGCGGAATCAGTCTACTACTAGGCCGAGCCCAGGCGAACCTGCGTGTAAATACACCCGCTCGGCACCGGCGTACTCGCTCGGTTGTGCTCGAGGAGTCTTTTACTATAAATACAAGCCTCAATTTTTTTATTTACTTTTTTAAGGTCTTTACGTTAGTGGGGTGGGGCCAGTTTTACCATACAGGCGAAGGCGGGGGGCTCACCTGTAGTGCACGGGCGGGCGGGGCGCGGGCTTGTAGCCGTAGTTGTAGTACTTGACGATGGGCCGCGGGCCGAACACCACGTCGCGGACCGTCATCCACAGCGTGGACATGAAGGCCATCTGGTTGAGCATCATGGCCTTGACCACCACGCCCTTGAGCGTGGCCAGCATGAAGGGCATCATGCCCATGAACATGAGCGGCGGCAGCAGGAACACCGGCGACATGTTCTTCATCTTCATCCGGCCCACGGAGAAACCTGCGGCAATGACAAAAAGAGAGGGATTATGCGTCAATCGGGGGGTGTCCATCGTCCTCGAAACACGGGTGGCCAGGAGCCGGCCTGGGGGGTCTGCTCGCCTCGTAGCCCACCCCGCAAGGCAGCTTCTGACATTCCTCTCCCATTTCGGCGAGATACAGTTAGGCCCCTGCCAGTTTAGCTTTTTTTTTTTACTGCCGCCAATTTTCACCTTCTGTGAGAGTGAATAAAAAGGCGGCGGAGCAGGGTGGTGGGGCGGCTGACCGTCGCGAAGCTGGCGCACCGGTCAAGCGAACCCCGTGACCGCCTCCGTCAGCGGGGTAGAGCAGGAGCGCAGAGCTCGGAGCGCCTGTGCATAGGCAGACCCGCCCGACACCGGCGCACTCGCTCCGTCGCGTTGCCTACCTACTAGGGGACCTGCACAGCCCAGCCGGGTGGCACGCTGGCGGCGGGGCGGGCCGCTCCCGGAGGGCTCGGCTGGCGCCGCCGTACTCCAGGCGCCGTCCTCCGGATAAGGAACGGCCGGGCCGGGCCGCGGCGAGCAGCGGGACACTTGGCCCTTGGCATTCCCCGCGCAAACGGAAAACAGGGCGGGCCATAAGGAGGGCCCTGCGCGGTGCCGTAGGGCCTTATGGTAATGCGCGGAGGCAAACAGGTGGCGGACGCCAGCGGTGCGGGCACGTGCGTGCTCCGGCGCGCGCGCGTGTGTGTGTGTGTGTGTGTGCGCGTGTGCGCGCGCGCGCACGTTCGTGCGTGTGTGTGTGTGTGTGTGTGAGAGGGACAGAGGAGAGGGCAGAGCATTTCTTGCTGGCGCGGACGGTTCAGCCCACCCAGTAAGCTACAACTATGTTATATGGACTGTAAAGCACCCGTATATCTCCTCGATCTCCCTTTGCTTTCAGTCCTTCCCCTTTCCTCGCTGCCCGCATAAGACTACTATCGGTTTATCGCCTCGGACCGCATAGTGACCCGCGGCCCGCCTGGTCGGGTTGGGTGGGTGTCCTGGACAAGTCCTGAACGGGCGTCCCCCCTGGACTCCAGCCGGACATCCTGCACGGCGGGGATAACGCCCTGCTCACACACTCCTCCGGTGTGACACGAACTTTCACCTGGGCTGCCCGCTCACCCGCGGGGCGGGGCGAGGCAGGGCGGAGCGGGGCGGGGCGGGGCGGGGTGGGGTTCTGCTGACGCGAGTTGACGCGAGCGGATGCTACGGGAGGGGCCGATACCCTGACGCAATGTTGCAGCGGCAGTTAAGTCAGCTAAAGCTAAAGAGGGGGGGGTGAATGTAATGTTCATCTCTCACCATTCATCTCTGGCATGTCACTTGGAGTGGGAGAATGAGAGAGTGTCTGAGAGAGAGATGAAGA